GTTCTTATGCTGACCAAATTTATTGCAATGGAAGGAATGAAAATTCCCTTAATGTCAATGAAGGATTTGACCCTTGGCAATAAGTATGACGGATACTGTACGTGACTCCGTCGGCTCACTAATCTAATCATGGTTTTTTTCAGAATCCTTGCGGTCATCGTCACTGTCAGATGTGTAGGCAGTAGGCTTCACATATCTTGTTTGCCTTGATTTGATTGTCTGTGCAGCGAAAGCCTTCCTTCTACGAAGATTGAATAACAGCCTGGCAGGGCTAAAACTGAAGAACATAAAGATTGATTAGACATTTACTTCTGACACACTTCCATAGATAAATACAAAATTTGCACACCACCTAACAATCTAATCAGATAAGAGATACAAAGTCCAAGAGGCCAATAGGTACTTCCAAGACAAGAAAGACCAGCTCTATTCGTGCAAGACAGGGGAGATTGTGCTTGGTGGGCAGGTTTAAGCATCTTGAGGTATCATTTACAAAATTATACAAAACGAGAGCATTGTCCTTAGCCAAACACACGGTTCGTATTCAGCCCTCTTTGTCATAAACAGACTCACGCTGTGCGAGAAAGAACTCTCACTGCTTGTCCAGGAGCTTTGGACTTAGCATTTTGCTGTCAGCGTGCTAGTGAAAGGACTCAGTGACGTGATGTATGTTCATCTCTCATTCCATCCATCCATCCATCCATCTATCTTCTAACAGCCTCTCCCTGTCCATTGCAGGGCACATACTGTACATGCTCAAAATCATACTCTCTGCTCAATTTTCAGATCCATTCCTTCCTTACCACATCCAAATCAAGCGCTTCTAAAACCCACATCAAACCATATGCAGTTTGTTACTGGCAAAGTGTGATTTATAATATGGCAGGCTCTGTGCTGCCAGACAGGATTCACAGTGTTATTTATGCAAAGTAAAGCACGAGAGAATACTGTGATAACACACTGCACTCATCATTTTTTGACTGACATGGTCCAGTATAGAAAGACATCATGGATGGGGACATACACTATGTTTTGCTGCATCCATGTGCCTGATATAGAGTCTCTGCAATCTATTCCAATCTGTGTGTGCAATGCTGACAAGAAGTGATTGGCTTATAATAATCCATAGGTGTTGGCCATAGATAATTTATAAATGACATGGTTTTAAAGTAACTGTTTAGCCTAAGCAGGGTTGCAGTGAGTCTATCTTAGGAAGCACAGGGCATAATGCAGGGTGCACCTTACACGGGATTCCAGTGTAAAACAGGCCACACACTACAGGCACACTGGAGAAAATGTCTGACTTAAGCCATATGTGTGACTAATGGATAATATCACACTATCTATCACACTATGAACATTTAAGAATATACCATTAAAGAGGACTTGAGTTCCCCCGCCATTAAAAACCCCCCACACCCATAGTATAGTTTCCTACACTCTGTCATTCTTCCATGAGCAGTGAAAAAAACATGATTGAGGACCACTGTAATGGCTGCAGTGCAACCACTTCATTGATCAGACTTGATAATGCAAGACATCAGGTATCTATCAGAGATGATAGCTCACACAGAACAATTCTATCTCATCTTATTAATCTTCTCAAGGTCTCATCCTGACACAAGAGGGAACAAAACAAACCAATGTGGTTTTTGGCACATAACTTCAACTAATATCTCTATCCAAATGAAAAACTGTAAACTACAGTATAATACCAGTGAAGTACTCATCCCACTGTAATACCAGTGAAGTATTCATCTCACTATAATACCAGTGAAGTACTCATCTCACTGTAATATCAGTGAAGTACTCATCTTACTGCAATATCAGTGAAGTACTCATCTCACTGTAATACCAGTGAAGTATTCATCTCACTGTAATACCAGTGAAGTATTCATCTCACTGTAATATCAGTGAAGTACTCATCTTAGCTTTATAACAGCAGTTTCTTTAATGGAACTTGAAGCTGTAATTATTGTGCATAGGCCCAGTTCAGTAAAGGCCACCCCATGGGTGATTCTACACCCTATTATTCCCTCATAACTCAATTTCAAGGAACATTTCAAATATTCAGATGTTTCAGTTTTCGAAAATACATCTGAACTTTTGGGTAGATCACTCGAGATCCAGTGAACTGTGCAGGAGATTAGATTATATAAACCTTCAGACACCCTATTTTTGTCTCAGCCCTGCTGAAAAAAAAACTACATTAGATCCATTTATTGATTTAGTCCCATATTTCATGGGGGCTCAACCCACCTAAGGGTCAAATCCTAAAATTGCCCCTGGACCACACTACTATTGTTAAGTTAGGTGTTTTGACTGAGCTTATAAAGCATTAAATGTTGCATATTGTCCAAGGGTAAATAGTTGATGTAGGTACAGTTCTTGTGCTAAAAAACCATTTGTTACTGTACTAGCACGTGTTCTTTCTGTTGGGTTATGAAGGATATTCAGAACTTCAGACAATTCTCATAGTTTTAAAGACAGGTTTAAGCTATAACACACAACCACAAACTCCTGATTGCTATAGTTACAGAACTAATTTGTTAGGTTGGTAACTAAAGGTTTTTATTCATTGTTATTATAGGCAGCTCGACAATTTAAAAAGGTGAATTGTCACTCTAAAGGGGTCACTGGTGACATCTGTATTTCAGGTATTTAATAGCTTTTTCAACCTTTTGGTTTATTGCAACATTTAAACAATTGAGGTAATTGACCTGCATATGCTGTATTCCGAAGAACCAACTCAGGAGAATGGGTTGGGTCTCTGAGGGTTGGCTGGTCATGGGTATAATCCGAATCCCAGTGCCATGACTGAGGGTATCATTTGCCAAAACCTCGTCTCTGTTTCATGTGTCTCTTTCGGTACCTCTATCTATCTCTGTTTTTTCACACTTTTCTTTGCCATTGAGTTTATTTTTCTTGGCTCTTCTCATCTGAACACTTTGGGAAAATAAACGATCAACTGCATCCCATTAAAGTATTTTTTTCATACCATCTCTTGTACTAAAAAGTACAAAAGAGATCACGATGGGTCAAGACAAAGGCAAGACGGTAAAATAAAAACTAACAAGGGCCAAAAATAAACACAAGGATAAAACTTATATGAAACAGGTTTGGGAAACAGTCAAGGAACATGCTGGAACATTTACAATGGCCAACTGAGGACCAGGGGAAGAACAGGCACATTTACACACAGACACCTAAGTTTGGTCTTCCTTTTAGCAATCAGAGATTCCAATCAAAAGAAAGTACAATATTATAATTGATACTTTATTGATCTCCGTGGGGAAATTGTTTTTACGCCTCCCTCAACTTGCTCTTTGTAGAGTAAGTTGCATACTCAAAAACAACAACAACAATAATAATAATAATAATAATAACAACAACAACAGTGCCACACTCAGTAAGAAAAACATACCAGAGGTTGAATAATCAGGGGCCTGTTTCACGAAGCAGGATTACTTGCTTAGCCAGATAACTTGCCAGATTTAAGGTAGTCTGGGCTAAATGTAAGTCTATTTAGCCTAGACTACCTTAAATCTGGCAAGTTATCCGGCTAAGCAAGTAACCCTGCTTTGTGAAACAGGCCCCAGATATCCTTGCCACAAAAATTATAATATCTGTTGACATTTATCCACTAGTCAATTTCCACTAATGCATGCAGATAAACCGCCACATAGTTGAAAACGGTGCCAAAAGCAAATGCTAAAAACTCACCCACAGGCCTGGGTACAGCCTCTCACCATGTTTGCTCCAACCCTCTCCATAGCACTGGGCAGAAGTCGTGTTTATTAGGGGTAATAAGCCGGGCTTTTAAAACCTGAGCTGGCAGCAGGAAACGACACATGAAGAGGAGCCTGGAAAGGTAAAGCAGCTTTTTAAAATGCTTCTCAGGAGGAGACGCTCTGTACTGTCACATGCTTAGCTTTGTTAGTTTCAGGTGTAAAGTTAGGCAGGCTGCCTATCTCAGATATCAGGGAGGATACCAAGAATAGTTAGGGTACTGTTAATATCTCCATTCCATATTAATTGTGGTATACTGTCACGCACCACCACTATGTCTATGCAAGGAATGATGGGGACAGTTTCATTTCAA